GCGCGGCGGTGGGGGGAGCGGCTAGTGGGGCCGCTCCGCGACGGGAAGTGGGACGCAGATGGGCTGCGGGCGCAAGGACGGTGTCGGGCTGCTTGCAAAGGTCCCCAGGCGCCCGCGGGGCATTTTCCGAAGACAGGGAAGCGCTCCATGACGGAACGACTTGGGACTCAGGCGCCGAGGTCATTCAGGGCCTTTGAAAGCAGCGTCCCCCCCCGCCCAGGGCTGGGGGTGCCGGCGGTGACTCCCCTCCATGCCTTGCTGAGCCCAGGCCAGGTTACCTTGGTGGCCTGCATGAGCTCGTGCCAGTGCCGGTCTCGGATGGCGGGGTTCTGCAGCTCGCTCACGGCGCGCAGGGAGGTGATCATGTTTTTCACGGTGTTATCCAGCCCCACGAAGGCGTCCCAGGGCCTCATTTCTTTATCTAGACTCCTCACGTCTTTAGCAAACTTTTTGGAATCAATGTCCATCTGCTCCACGTTAATCTCTTTCCACTTGGTGGTCTTCCAGTCGTCGATGCTGGCGTTCACCTGCGTGGGAACGCAGTGCCACGTGCCGTCCCGGCAACACCCCCCCCCACTCCCTCCCCCCTTCAGCCTCCTGCTCCCCAGAGACACTGCTGCTCTGGGCCAGCTCAGCTCGGCAGCGCTGCCCCGGCGGAGCTCACGCGCCCGCTGCCTGGGGTTTCTCCGGGGGCGGTCTGCTGAGCCTGGCGTGACCGCTGGCTGGCCTTCTACCTTGGCAGCAGACGGCCGAGAAGCTCCCTAACAGGCCTGCTTCATTTTCATCTCACAAAACCACAGCTGTCTGGGGGATTGCAGGTCGAACCTCTCTGGTCCGGCAACACCCGTGGTCCGGCATGATCTGAGTCCTCTGGATGCCCATTCATCATGGGCCTGGCCAAGCTTCCCACGGTCCCATGAAGTTTGTTTGCAGCCCCCAGGCCTGGCTCTGTGTTCTGTGCTGTTCTTCAGCTCTACGTTCCCCCCAATGTCTTCTACAGGCCCGGTGGTCTCGCTGCTAGACAGCATCACCCTCCCGTGGCCCAGTGCTGGGCAGGTCCCCAGGGTGCCGGACGAGAGAGGGTCACCCTGTGCAGGAGCGTCCTGCTTTGGTTTTGTGTCTGCAGCCCCTGCCTGCTCAGCGTGGCTCCCCAGGGGCCAGACCAGCCAGAGGCTGACGGCCTGCTCCAGTGCTGGTCTTTCCGTTCATGCGCCAAGTCTCTGGGGCCCTGCCCGGGCCACCCCCTGCGGGTTACACACATTTTGAATTTGCTGCCGGCAGCACCATGCTGGAGACGGTGCCACAATCTAACCGCTGCTGAGTGAGAGCGACTCGTGCGCCAACCCGACCCGCCAGCCAGCGGCCCCTTTTGGTCGCTCTGCCCGGCCCTGAGCCTCCCCACATCGGGCCCCACGGAGCTCGCCTTCAGGCCCCCGAGCGCTTGCTGCGGGTTACACACATTTTGAATTTGCTGCCGGCAGCACCATGCTGGAGACGGTGCCACAATCTAACCGCTGCTGAGTGAGAGCGACTCGTGCGCCAACCCGACCCGCCAGCCAGCGGCCCCTTTTGGTCGCTCTGCCCGGCCCTGAGCCTCCCCACATCGGGCCCCACGGAGCTCGCCTTCAGGCCCCCGAGCGCTTGCTCTCCACACCCAGAGCAGCGGCAGGGTTCCCAGCCGGGGCTGCAGTTACACGTCCGTGGCCAGCTGGGGAGGGCCGCCCGGCCCCCCC